TGCAAGTTATAACAGTCGTTCGTAAAATGCTCGTACCCCCGATGGAATTCACACCATTTTGTTTTACCCGCCTGCCCGTAACTCGACTGAATGGGTGGCGGTCTTGGGACGTTTCTCATATCAGTGGACATTACTTCCTCCAATATTTGAGCTCTAGATGTATTCAACGGTGTGAACTCCCTCCTGTATGCCTCTCTGAATCTTTCTCCAACTAACCGAGGCCGCCTCTCTTCAAACTTCCCCCTTCCAGCTGGTCTATCCGGCCTCCTACTTTGAGTTGCTTCTCGGAAACCTTGTTCAATTTTTCTTTTGAGAGGATTTAAATTCCTCCAAATCAATGTACTTCCAGATTCTCTCTAACAAATCTTCCTTTGTAGCTGGACACTTTTTGGCTAACGAGTTCGCCATCCCTCCGGGTTGTAATCCAGTAGTGAACAACAACAAATACGTCTTATTTTCTAACCCCTTGACTTGCCTTGCTTCTGCTTGAAAACGTTCCTACTAATCTCGCAACTTTTCGCTGGGCTTTTGCCTTACTCCGCACAAATTATGCGTGGTTTTGGGCTGGGGTCCACAATGAGCAAATTGCTGCGTAAACCGAAGTGATAACTCCGCCCATCTTTCGATGGAATTATCCGGCAAAGCCGTAAACCACTCCAAAGCTTGTTTTCTCAGAAACACAGGAAATGTTCGACATAACAAATAGTCTGATTCCCCGCATAAGGACATTGCTGCTCGGAAAACCGTTACAAACCCCTTCGGGTCTAAGCTCCCATCATACGCCTTCATATCATTTGGTTGCTTAAACCAAGTCGGGATCGATTCCGCTCTTAGCCTCCAAGACAAAGGGGTTCCTGATGGCCCTTGATTTATTGGTTGCACAAGAATCCCTTGTTGCGTTTGCGTTTGTTGTTGTGCTCTTCCGGGTTGTCCATTCCATCCGGGCACTGCTTGCCCCATATTCATCATTTGCCCTCCGTAGTAATGAGGGCCAAAACCTTCTTCTTGTCCTGGTCCATTTTATTGATAACCCAGATTCGTTGGGTTATTACCCGCCTGCCGTCTATCTCCTCCCTGACCTTGATCTCCCCCCAAGTAATGATACTCGGTTTCTTCTAGTGGGAACTTGCCCCTATGGTTAGCATAACTTCTTCCACCTTCTGGCCTCCTCCTCTGATAAGTCTCTTCGTGCCGCCCTTAATTTGCCTCTCGTTCTTCTTGACGAGTATAATAATGGCGGCCACCCAGGTATTGCTCTTCCTCCCAATTTTCCCCTTCTAAATGTTCGCCCTCCATATTCTGGTAGTGTCTCGTTCTTCCTGTTCTCCGAGCATGACCATCATATGCCCGCTCTTTCATTCTCTGATTTGATCCTCGTCCTCTACCTTGATAACCCATCCTTTCTGGAGGACTCCTTGACTCTCAACAAGGTTGTCCTCTCCTTACTTCAGTTCCTCTATTCCCTCCCGCAGTTGGGTGCGACAATGGAATATAACTAGGAAAAGGAGACAAGGGATCTCCCCCACTGTTAGGAGACTGCTGCACATTTCCTGCAGGTTGCTGTTCTTATGAACCACATTTCCTTTGCCCTTCTTCTTGATGCTGCCTATTCCTTATGTCTTCTACTAACTGAATTAAAGCTTCTCCAATGGTGTTCAGAGACCGACTCCTTCCACTGGATCGCTCGCTCGCTCTTGGTAACCTCTGTCCTCCACTGCTCGCTCGTCACGGTTATGGCTTGCCATGACACAAGAGAATGCGTAGGAATCTTTTTACCTATTCCCACAGACGGCGCCGAATGGATGAACATCAGTATGGATTATGTCTGCTAATAGATGACTGATCTTAGGCACCTATCCTTGATATATATAGCTCTTGCTTAGGCAGTTACTCTAAACGTGGGTGGTTATTGATACTATCATGGAATCGTGGTAGGGCCCACCTTTGGTTCCAATACGTGGGTTTTTACCCTGGTTAACTAACTAACCATCCGGGTAAGGATCCTTCCAGGTTCCGTCGACCGTTATCCTTGCTGGTAATACCCGGACGTATGAACCCGGAACAGAAAGAAAGAAAGAGCTCGAAGACAAACAACAGACAGAGAAAAAGGCACGCAAGAGAAAGCATTAAAAGTACGATAACATGTGCCTATTAATTGGCCACATCCAAAGACTTCTTCAGTAGATACTTTACAGATAGAAACAAAGCCACACACAAATAGGCTTAGGGTAGTGCTATGATGAAGGGTATCGGTAAAAATGTTAGGTGATGTGTACTTTAGTCATTTTTCATATGTAAAAAAAAAAGGGCTTACTAAGTATGATCAACCGATTTGGGGATTAATGTTTCTTATGATGTATGTGATAAAGTTATCTTTTACATATATATAAAAGAGTATAGAGCTCATATGACTTCATATAAAGAGAAAGAAAGAAAATATAGATCCCATATATTTTATATGTATAGGAAATAAATATGACTTCATATAAAAAGAAAGAAAAAAATATGGATCCCATATATTTTTATATATGTATAGGAAATAAAATTTATATCGGTCGGTATTTATAGTGTAATTAATGATTAATTAATATTAATTAATTCTTATGACTTCCTAAATTATAACCGTTAGATGCAGAAAAATCAACGGTTGAAATGTGATGTAAAACTTATTAATCTTACACTGGTGTAAAATGATCCTAATTATATATATATATATATATATATATATACACACACACAAATTTTTACCCAAAAACGAAAGATTAATTAATAAAAAATTGAAAAACAAAAAATTGTAGAAAAAAAAATCATAAACACATAAAAACAAAGAGAATATTGATAAAAAAAATTTGATAAAAAAAACAAAAAAAAAACGCCGTTATAAAATGAGTTTTTAATTATCATTCACCTAGTTATTAACTAAAGGACAAAAGCATTCCCTTTTTTTTCTTTTTCGTTATATTTTTACACCCCAAAATGTTCTTAAGACAAGTTTCGCTCCGTAAATCGGGATTTGACGGCAAAAAATCCGTACTAATGTTAATTTTGAAATGTATCTCCATCCTAAAACACAATGCAAAAGAATGGCCATACTAGAGCAGTCAAACACGTAGGTTTGACTGACGAGATAAGTCCCGCCAGTGAGAAAGACGAGATCAGAAGCCACGTAGGAAGCCCAACCAATCGCGTCAGTCCATGTCACGTGTTTTCCACGTATCCCGCCACCTGCTGTGACATTTACCAGTCCCGCCATGTCAGTTGGCGAGACTAAGCCACGTGGCCAAAGTCTTGTAACACTGGTTGGCGGCATTCCTTTACAACCGTTCATTTCTTATCTCTTCCTGCACCGGTGCCTCTCTCCCTCCTCCCTCTTGTTCCCTCCCTCTTCTTCTTCTCCGTTTGTCTCCCTCATTTCTTTCCATTTTCATTAGTCAGAGAGTGAAGCAAGCAAATTTTTGGGTCCAAAGATCGTTCTCCAGTCCGTTGGCACCTCCGTCGGAGCAACTGTGTGCGTTCCCATCTTTCCGTTTAGTCACGAAACCACAGGTATTCTGGCATTGTATTTTTTTTACCTATTGGCTCGATTTTTATATGTGTGTGTTATGTTGTTGTTTGTATGGTGTTGTGTTTGAACTATTTATAGGCATGATCTGGTTATTTTTTTTTCCGGGGACCACATGTTTGTTTTTTGCATGTTGTGGTGTATTGATGTGGACAGATACATGTGTTCTGAAGTTGTTTTGTTATATATCTGTTAAAAAAATTGCCTCACTTTGATTTTAAAATCTCTTGGGACATAGTTTTGTAATGGAGTCCGCTGTCAAACAAAAATTACAACATATATGAACAATTGAATTTGAAGAAGAGCAAACACGGTGGTGGCATGAAAGGAACTGATAACAAATAAAATGAAACGGTTCTTTTCTTTTTTTTGGAAATAATGAAACGGTTCTTTTAATAATTATTAGTAAATGCAATTTTAATTAGTAATTTTTTTTAATTAGTAAATAGTGGCCCATTTGTTTGCGTAATTAATAAATAAGATAAATATTAATATTAATCAAATATATTAATTATAACAAACCTGCACATACTTAGTCATCATTAGTTTAATAATTAAATAATAATCATGTCATTAAAGCCCTTTTCAAATATTCTGCATTAATTAAGAAAAATAATTTTGGAATCCTTAGTAGGCATCAAGCTAGGTTATTCGTAAGATTGGCCATTAATCAATGTAATTTTGGCTTTTGGTAAACAGTGATTAATGTCATAATTATGTTGTAATTTTAATTAGTGACTTGATTAATAGTAATCATATTGAAATTTACAATGCTTTATAAAACCATGTTAGAAAACTAAGTTGTTAATATTGAAAATTATAAACATTAATCTGAAATAGTAATTTAGATTGAATATATTTATAATAATTACAATTATTAATTATTAAAATCGTAATAATTGTTTTAATAATTATATAATTGCAGATCTCATGTTAATGAATAAAACCTAGAAAAAACATATTAAGTTGATTTAATAACTATTAAAAAAGTAAATAAATAGCCATTACCATTTAGTGAATTAGTTAAATATTATTCATGCTATTAAATCCCTTATACAAAATAATTTATTAACATTACAATGTTGCAAAAATGCTTTAGGGTAATTTAATTAATGTAATTAGCATGATTTAATAGTAATTCATGTTTGTACTAGTATTAATAAAATTTGTCTTAGTAATGGCATAGTGACCTGTGTGTAAAAATAAGATAGTATCAATGAAAATTTGTAAAACGTAAATTTAATGACTGTATATTTGCCAAGATTAATTAAATCGACATGAAACTTTATAGTAAAGTAATAAATACTCTTGTAATTATTTAGTATATGCTGTTGTTATTACAATTGCAGTCATATTTTATTAAATAGTAATTGCAATAGTACCTTAATTATGTAGTCCCTATAATAATTGATAAATTTTACAAATTGTTGTTAGTTAAATGGCTAGTGATGGACCTCGCATTGACCCCGGTCCGAAAGAGTGGGGTGTACTATATGAAGATGTGCAGCAATGTCATAGATCCCAGGTGGTGTGGAACGAAGGACATTTAAAGTCTCTGAGAGTGAGACGAGCTTCAGAGGGTAGGGGAAACAGAGATGTACACGACCCAGATGACATCCCCCAGGACCTGCAGCAGCATTTGGTGCGTGCAGGTTTTTGGCATGCGGCTCGCATGAGAAGATTACCGGTATGTTTCATTTATGAATTTTATTTTATTTATTACATGTTACCAATAATAACGACCTTTATGCATATTTTTACGATTACGCTCCTCACATGCAGATTGACCATAGGCTGATTACTGCACTGGTGGAGAGGTGGAGGCCGGAGACTCACACTTTCCACATGCCTGTGGGAGAGATGACACTCACTTTACAGGATGTTGAGGCCATTCTGGGTTTACGCACTGAGGGTCGGGTAGTTTCCGGTTTTACCCATGCCAACTGGGAGGACGTAATTCTGCAGTATATGGGAAGATCTCCACTTGAAGACGATTTGGAGTCGACTATATGTGCATTTTACCAAAGAAGTTATTCGCATGTTCCTCGCTCCCTTAAAAACCCTGTTGACTGATTCAGAGAAGTTAGTTGTCATGTGACCATATCTTCGTCCACCCTCGTCGTAACTCTGAGTCCATTTCTCTTTTGGAACAGCCTCAATCCACGCAGCGACTTCTGGACTAATGCTGCAGAACTCGGCATACGCGGCATCAAAGTAGTCTTTATTTGCAACATATCCTGCGAAAAAAACACATATTTATATAATAAAGGACCCAATCGACAAAGGATTTACACAGTTTCATGTAACTAGTTTGCATATATAACCTAGCTTCTTTAGAAAACCCTTCATGTATTGATCCTTGAATCGTGTATTAAAATTGCTCCCCACATGACGAAGGCAAAACACATGGTATGCATTAGGAGGTTGCCATCCAATGTCTGGATTGGCCACTGCTGATAAAATGCTTTTGTGTCGATCAGAAATAAGGCTTATTCCAGTCTTACTGGTTACATGCATTTGGATGGATGCCAAAAAATATTCCCATGCATCTTTAGTTTCACTTTCAACGACCGCAAATGCGATTGGCAATACCTCATTGTTGCCATCTTGCGCTGTGGCGATCAATAATGTCCCTTTGTATTTACCGTACAAATGCGTACCATCGACCTGTATGACTGGTTTACACCATTTAAACGCCTCCCGACATTGACCGAAAGTCCAAAAAACACGTTGAAAAACCCTAGACCCAGTAATAACTTGTCCATTCATGACACACGATCCATGTTGAATATGGTAAACAGACCCCGGAGAAAAATTCAACATGTGCGCGAACCATCTTGGCAAGAACGCGTATGACTCGTCCCAATCACCGTAAATCTTAGCAATTGCTTTCTGCTTTCCCTTCCACGCCTTCCTATAAGAAACATTATATCCAAAAAGGGCAGTAACTCGTTCTTGTATCAAGATAACGGCCACCGACGGCGAAGCCTTCACCATGTCTGCATACAGATATAGAGCATATTAGTAATTAGTAATAATATCCACCTTCACATGATAAACACATAAATTGTCGCAGTACGAAAACTTCAACAATGTATATAGTACCTAGAATGGCCTCAGATATAAATTGTGAATCAAGTTGTTTGTTATCTTGCGAAAGGGTTGTGCTGACACAAGAATGTTTTCCACCCCATTTAGTGACTACCCAGCTGTTGCTATTCTTCGGTTTAATTGCCCTTACTCGCCAATTGCAGCCTTCTTCATGCTTACGATATTTCATAGACAACTTCGTGGTAGTACTCTCAACCACTACAGCTTTTTGATGCTCATTCATGCAGTAATGTTTTATAGCGGCTTGCACATCGCTCTTCAACCGGAACTCTTGTTTCACATACATTTCGTCTCCTCTTGTCCACTGACCACGACCTAAGCCTTCAACATCCAGTATGTCTTTGTTCGGATAATCCAAATTAACAGCCTCATAGTGTGGGATGTCATCCCAAAATGGTGTCACATCTACAAAAAAAATAAAAAAAATACGATATGGCAAATATTAAAGCGATTAAAAAAAAATTAATCATTCAACACGTTCAATGGCTAACCTGATGTTGGTGGAATAACCGCATTATTGGACGCAGGGATAACTGTCTCTTGTGTTATGGGATTATCATGATGTTCATCATCTCCTCCATCACTATCATTCTGATCATGGTCATTTGCCAATAGAGTGTCTTCCTCCTCCTCCTCCTCTTCATTGTCAGGTTCAACATCTACCATATAGTCGCTTTCATCTCCATGCGCAATAGTTGATTGTGTGGGTTGGGGTATCGATGATGACGGCATTTGTGTCTGACTGTTAAGGTCTAACCCACGTGTCGGTGTTGACATTTCGTCTGATGTCTCAATATCCACGTATAACTCAACAAATTGAGAAGTAGTAGAGTTTTGGACAAATGTTCCAAGAAAAATATCAATGTCCTCATCATCAGTTAGATCAAAACCTGCATATTTGCGATTTTCACTTGGGACTCTACCCGTTATTGAAGAAATTACCTGATTTTGTTGCAACTTCAACTTCTGACGAATCTTCTGAAGTAGATCTTCAATGGACAAGCCTCGCACAATATACATTGCTCTTTTTTCCCCTTCGAATCTCAACCCGCCTACACCGTTAATTTTAGAACCATTATAATATACAAAAGACCGATATTGTTCCATTGTAATAATACAGGGGTATATGCAAATAACACAAAAAGATCAGATGCAAGTGGAGATTAAAAAAAGTAAATAAACAACATTTGAATCCGCATTACAGCAACTGACACAAAACCTTTTGGAAATTACACACACAGCAAGTGACACAAAACCTTTTGGAAATTAATTACACACAACAAGTGATACAAACAAATTACTACAAGTAAAGAAACCGTCCGTCAAAATCATATACAAAAATAGCAAACATAAACCAAATTCCAAATTTTCAATACTAGCAAACACCGGAAGACCCTATATATAACCAGACAGGTATCAACCGTAAGTGTCAGTGGCGAGATTGAGTACCGGACGCTACCCCACAATTATTTTGTTGAGTACGGGACGCTACCCCACGTGTGGCGAGGAGTGGCTGGAACGCGTCACAAGAACTGCGGATGTGTCACACATGTGGCTTAGTCTCGCCAACTGACATGGCGAGACTGGTACATGTCACAGCAGGTGGCGGGATACGTGGAAAACACGTGACATGGACTGACGCGATTGGTTGGGCTTCCTACGTGGCTTCTGATCTCGTCTTTCTCACTGGCGGGACTTATCGCGTCAGTCAAACCTACGTGTTTGACTGCTCTACTATGGCCATTCTTTTGAAAAGTGTTTTAGGATGGAGATACATTTCAAAAATAACTTTAGTACGGATTTTTTGCCGGATTTGACATGTGCGTCTAAATCCCCTCCACACATTCTCTCTCTCACTTTCACCATCCATCACCATCACCTACCCCATATGTGTCTCCTTTGCTTCATCCATTACGTAAATTGATGACTGATAGAGTATCACAGCACAAAATTCCAACATCATTTGATTGAACATTCAAGCTTGATCCCAAGAGTCCCAGAGTGTCTGGCCTCCGTTGTGTGGTTCCAACTGTCATAATTTTATAACACCCTTTTTTATTCATTAAATTCAAGTTTGCTTCTTTTGGTTATCCTGTATCGTGTTGTTCTTGTTAATCGAGTCCTCCATCTACTCTTTAAGACGAGGCAATTGCCCCAGGCATATAATATTGCTTAACGAATAAAGCACTACGAAATTTATTTTGTAGGCATGTAAAGTTATTTGACTTCATTTTTCAATCACATAATGAAATAAATGACAAATTGTATAGATAAGGCCTGATCTTGGAAGGATAGAGAAGTGTTACGAGAAACAAAATCACAAAAAAAAGAAGAAAAAAAATCACGAAGCATTAGATACATAAACAAAATCACAAAGCCACACAGAACCTAAGCTGGGAAGAAGATTTGTGAGGAAGAGTAAGAGAAAACAAGTTATTCTGATCTTGAAATGATAACAAATACAAACATTACAGACTTTCTAATTTTATAATAGGGTTCTATTTTTCTCATGTTGTAGGAGATAAGTATCTTCTACTATAGATACATAATATGGTGGAGCCCACCATCCATTAAAAAAGGAAAAAGAAAAAATGACGTCATAATTTTTTATGTGAGAGAAACATGAGATAGTTATCTCATGTAAAATGAGACAATTATTTCTCTTTATAATAACAAGACTTCACTAGAGCCTCAAATAGAAAACTCGACATAAGTATGGAGTGTTGAGCACAACTAAAGGAATAAGATTAATACCCCAACAAACACTCCATGAACTTTACTTTAACAAAACACACATACACACAAATTAAAAACATTGGATACGTAAACAAAATCACAAAGCCACACAGAACCTAAGCTGGGGGTACTAGTGGCCTAGCCTCAGCTCAACCTCAACCTCTTCAAATGCTCCAACTTGAGGGACAAAGGATGGTTGGTGTGGAACATCTAATTGCGAGATTAGATCCATACCATTCTCTGACTCCATAGCTCCCACTTCAGGGAGGAAGGGTGGTTGGTTTGGAACATCTAAATCCACAGTAGGTGGTGGCGGCACTTCAACGGAGTTGCCTAGTTGGAGTGAAAGATCACACATTTCTGCGTTGCTCTCTGACTCCATAGGCCCAACTTCAAGGACGAAGGATGGAACATCTAACTGCGAGATTAGATCCATAGTAGGTGGTGGTGGGGGCACTTCCATGGAGTTGCTCCTTTTGCTACTTTCTCTGCTGCTCTGTGACTCCAAAGCTTCGAATAAATTAATAGATAGGCAAGGAATGATTGCTCTCCTACGTATTCATGTATTTATAGGCAAGAAATGGACAAGAAAAATCGTTCACTGTCATATCTCCGACGTACTGATTTTTCAAAAGAGTGTTGGATAAAAGAAAAACACTTTTTGAAAGCATTGGTGATATGATATGACAGTGAACGATTTTTGTTTTATCCTACGTGAGTACATGTCTTGTCGAAGAAAGCATTGGTGATATGATATATTGAAGGATTAAAAATAAATTTTAAGGGAGTGGATCCTCTCATATGAAAAAGTGGTCATGTGGTCATGTTATTTGATCACAACCACTCATTTAAAAATTACACACTTTTCTCTCTCTTATCTCATCATCAATGAGTGTTGTGATCAAATAACATGATAACTTTTTCACATGAGAAGATCCACTCTCAAATTTTAAGTCCTTTTTGAATACTAAATAATAAATCTGATTCTTTTATATCTGGATCATTTAACATGTGCCTTGAAATCCCCATCACACATGCTCTCCTATCACTTTCACCAGCCATCACCGTCACCTTCACCTACACCTACACGTATGGGCCTCCCCTTCTTTTTCCACTTTTAGTACTCTTATGACTTTCATCAGTTAAGATCTTGTGCCCAACCTCTTGTTCTCTTTTCCAACATCATTTGATTGGAATAATAATATGTTTGTTGTGTACGTTGTTGGGATCAAGTACGAAAAAAAGAAGAAGACAGAAGTGATGTACCGTTAATGCGGATCGCCCTCCGTACAAAAAGAAAAAAAGAAAATCATTCACCCGTCATCTCTCCTACGTTGTAATGATTTTTCAAAAGGGTGTATGGTAGTTAGAGGAACAAATTTATAGTATATCTCACCTGCCATCAGTTAATAATTACAAATCAATTTTTTCAGGAGTTTGACAGAGCATATGGACCAGCGTGGCACTGTGTCTTATAGTGTAAACAGAGTAAGCAAGTAAAAGAAACTATTATTGAAACTGAGTTATTGATACTCAAATGTCAGAAGTTCATACATTCGAGAGAGAAATTCAAAACTGATACAAAGCTTAGAAAAGGCAGAGTGTTCCTAACCATAGTAACAGATCAGAAAAATAAACTAACTAAGGTAAAAGGTAAACTAACTGCATTTACTAAAATAAAATAACTAAAGTTAAAGTTACTGTATGCTTGATACTGTGTGATAGGGACAAGTTCCGGGTCCTTTGTGAGTCACACCACACGAGTGGCGGCTTCATCTACTTCTCCGTTGACTCAGTTTTCGGTTCTTCTCTTCAAAACAGAGGCACACTTGGTCACGCAACCACCACCACCTCCTTAATTCATCTTCTTTTTTCTTTTTTGGTAAATAATAGAGCCGAAGCCCAAAAACCACGCAAAACTAAGAAACTAACAAGGCACGAGTTCTACCAACAGAACAAACATAAGCTAAATGCAAAAATAAAATGTCGGTTGGAGGCTCGTTAAAAAACACAGCATACACTTCCTTCTCTTTATCCAAAATGAAATTGGTCATCCAGTCACGTGAGTATAATGAAGCTTAATGTTCCAATCTTTTTTAAACCATGTCTGTATGCGAGACAAGATAACTCTCACGGATTGCTATTCCAATGTTGGATAGCATAATGATTGCACTAGAAGAATCAGTTTCCAATTCAATATTACAAAATCCTTCATTCCAAGCCAATTTCAATCCACCAATAATTCCCCAAAGTTCACCTTTACAAGAAGAGTACGTGCCTAACTTATAAGCAAAACCATTTAGCCATTTACCACTAACATAACGCAGAACACCACCCCAACCAGCAAGGCTATTTTTTTTTTATTTACTGTTATAATTACGCATTATATTTATATAGCTTTTCGTTTGTTTGAGTTTTTAGAAAAAATATTTTTTATCTCTTTTTTATTTTAAAAATATTTTTTACAAAAGTTAAAGTTAATTATATTTTTATAAAAATATTTAGTTTTTGAAAAAATATATAACTTTTGACTTCTACTTTTTTTAGCTTCTAAAAAAAATAAATTTTTAACTTTTTTTTTTTTATGATTTCTGTTTTTTTAAAAAGCAGATATCCAAATGAAATTAAAGTGAGAAGTACTTTTTATAAAAAATAAAATAGCTTTTAAAAAAAACTCATCCAAACTATTAATATACTATTGTTGCTAATGACAACTCAGGTTGTGTCCTTCGTTGTCAAGAGTAACTGTCGTCTAACGTTAAAACTGCCGTCCTCGTTATTAATTGAGAACACTGTTTTTGTCCCGGGGTCCAGCATTTCTGACTATTGTTTGCGCTTTTTTTTTCTTGTTTCCCGATCAATAAACTTTTGCATTACACTGCACATGTTACATAAAGTCGTTCAATTCCAATTGCCATATCATTTTTAAATAATTTAAAGTAATATCTCACCTTCTGAAAATAAGGCACATAATTGATGTTTCATATTACTATCAAAACGACTTCCAGATTACGAACTAAATGTTCAATATTTATTTAATATAAGTCAATATTGTTCAGCGGCGATTGGATTATACATCGAGTTGTAGTTTGTGGTTGGCATTCAAAATCAGCTAGTACATTGTGGCAAAATAATAAAATCGATCCTTATTCCCGAGAAACATGCATTAATCATGGATCAGATAGCGAATTAATCATAGAGAAATTTAACAAATCATGGATGTGAATGTGATTCCGAATTTCTGATACGCTGAAGGCACGCCTCGGTGAGCAGGCATAAAGCTC